TATAAGTGTCAATATATTGATGACTTTGCATCTTTATCCCACCGTGGCCGAATCTACTAATAATTTCGTGGCATCGATATGTTCCGTTACGTTGTATCTGGCTACTTGTTTACTAAACACTTCTGCCATATGCATAGGAGTCATGTTTGTGATATTTGCTATTGTGATCAAGGGAAAATTCGATGATTTAGCGAATGACATACACAGTTATCGTTGTAATTTTAATGAAGTGACTTACTTTCTGCAATATTTTCGTAAGGAATTTAAAGAATGTTGTATTCGAATGGAAGAATTTAATCGTATATTCTATGGGATTTCCAGTGCCGCCTATTGTACATCCATCTCTATAATTTGTTTCGTTTTGTTAATTTTACTTTATAAAGAAGTTGATAGTTATTTTCTTATCGTTCTGATTTCTATTCTGATTATAGTAATAAGTATTACAGAAGTTGTCTTGTTACTCGGTGCTGAGTTATCCGTTTCGGTAAGTTTATTATGCAGTTCATAGTTAACAGGGTTAATTAGCTGTTTGTGCCAAGTATGTTGGTTCCTTCTTTGCCGCTTACAGGTTACCCTCATTTTGAGCCTGGAAAAAAGGGCGCTCATACTGTCCATCGGGCTAAAAACAACCTTAATGGCGATTAAATAAAATCTTAATCATTAATTATCATTAATTTTTATATTTTCTTATATATTTTTTTCTTCTGTTGTTTGTTTTTCTAAAATTAGGCTACGTCCCCCTTGATAGAACTGAAAAGGTTTTGTACTTTTCAAATGGATACAAACGATAGACTAAAGGTAATAATATAAAAAATACTTTATTTAAATAAATATATGTGATTACAAATAGTAATACTTATATAAAAAGTTATAATATTAATAAAAATACATGAAAGGTAACGAAGAAAATTTTTCAGCTAATTTCTACATTGAAATTGTTGGATGGTCCTAAATTGGGAATTCAATGCTTAGACTTTACTTTTACCAAATTGACTGTTACTCAAGTAATTATTTTTATGTTTATAAACTTCTAAATATAAATAATTGTCCTCATTTTAATTATTTTTTTTTCTGTTACAGGCGATAGAAAGCTGTTTTTCATTGTTTTCTAGTCTTAAAGGAATAAACAGCAAGAAAAAACAGAGAAAATGCAAATAAGGTCTGCACAGTCTTTTACTTGTATGTATAATTTCTTGGCTCAGTTCAAAATATGTTGGTTTCAATTTACACGTATTTGTGTCTGCCATTTTATGGGTCATTTCGTGGCTTGTATGATTTTGTAATTTAATTATATGATAAAGAAGTCTTTTTTCAGTTTGGATACCTAACGTGAAATTTCATCTATCATCAAGATCTTACTAAATTACTATCTTAAAGTTTTCTGCAAAGAGTACGATATGGAATGTTAAATTGTTTGCCTGTTTTATAGTAATTTAGATAATTAGTAGGTACTGTTTCGGCCGGAAGAGCTAAATCCATTTTTCTCTATACGCACCAGTTTCCCTTCATTTCTATTTAGTAGGCATCTGAAACTAATAAATTTACAATAAGTTTATAATAAAATATTTTAAAAAAATACGTCTGACTAAAAACTAAAATTATTACCGGAGCTTCTAGTCTTGACTACAACACAACCAATCCCACTTTCACATAAAACAGAAATATCACATAAATATATTTGAATTTTGAAACATTTTGTGCAAATGTAAATCATTCAAAAAGTATCTACAGCGATGATAAACAGGAATTTATTTTTACAAAAAATTCTAGCAACGAGTTGCATAAATATCCCGGCTGTAATGAGATTTTATTCAAAAAATAGCTTTTATATTATTACTAAGCATAATAAAGTAAATGTGTGTGATGCTATCTGTTATAAACTTATTATATAAAAATTTTTATATTATTAATTATTATTAAATGACAAAAAAATTTAATTTTGAGGGTAATGATGTACTGTACACGGAGCACCCTGATTCAAATTTTACTGAATCTCACGAAGCTATAAAGCGCTACTTTTTCTACTTATTCATAAAATACCAGATAAATTCTAACCACAGTGATAACAATTATAATAATACGTGATTTATTTATCTTACATCCAATACGAAAGAGTTATTTTTCTGAAAAATAAAGCTTTCGTGTTTGAATCTGTTGAACTTTGTTACTTCATAGAGAATTACCAAGAAGTTGAAACATTGTGCGACCAATATTTATTAATTAGTTGCATATGTAAATCTTTAAATAGTTACATTTTGTAAGATAACATTTTGGTTATTTTTAATTTATTTTTATGTAAAGTTTCCAAATCAAATTTCAACGAATGTCGTATTTTCTTATACGTCTTATTTATGTACTTGAATAAAAGTGTGAATAAAAAAATCAACGCAAAAATTCTAATAAATGGATACTACCCAAGGATTTCAAAGTCCAGGTGTATAATTTAGTGTAACAATTTAACTCAATTTTTCAATTAATATATTACAAAAATTTTTCGTTTAGTATTTAATGCGTCAAATATGAAAATATTTAATTTATAATAGCCTAATATAGGCCTATTATTGATTAGTAATAATGAGCCATGACATATTAAAATATGCTTCGTTGTTCTACGCATTACAACCCAAATCATGAAATCGGTCGTTATTTTTTAAAAAATAAAAAGAATTTATTTTAAATGCGATTTTCCTAACCATAGTTTAGAAATGACGCTATTTCTATGGAGAATCGAGATTTTGAAGAAGACTCTTATAAAACAGTTTAAAAAAGATTAAAATGTCTTGTTTCTTTCTCCAATTTTTTTATTTTATAAATGTAAAATTGATCCTCTCTGATTAGATTTCGTGTTCCCCCCGAAGTTGTAGGCTGGCATCTGCTCGGCTATTCGGATAATAGTTACAAATAGGAAACAATTCGTTATATGGCATCAAACAACAAAAAGTAATTGCCTGTGCGTGAACAGTTTTTAATTTTAACTCAATTTAAATATATGTGTTAGAAATATATGTAATTTCAAAACTATATTGTAATCTATATAAATTCCAAGTTTTTTTAACTTGAATTCAAGAAATTGAAACAAAAAAGGTGTTAAGTTCAAGTATTTTCAATTCGATATTTACATTAAAGAAATTTGTGTGCACCGTGACCCTTTACAGACCAACAAGCAATTCGGTGTTAAATGATAATACTTAACTGTATCAAACTTTAGGGAAATAATTATAACGTCTATAGCGATGTCGTCATAATTTTAAGGCTTCCTTATAGAAAATTTTGAAAAACGTTACGAAAAACGATAATAACTTCTTTTCACGTGGTCACTTTCGTATTGCATAAACGTAAAAAACAAATATAGGGGAGACCGGGGCAACTTCGGCATGCGGGGCAAGTTTGTCAAGCGCTTTTTTAAAAAAACAAATTAAAAGGAGACTTTGGTTATAGGTTAGGCAGTTGAGTTTTATTGGTGGCTTGTTGAGTGAAGTGTTTTTATTGTTCTCCAACAAGCGTAGTTGAATTAGCAAGCAAATTTTCATTTTCGTTCAATTCCATATAATATTTTTTTCCATTTATATTGAATTGGCAGGTTTTGTTATAATTCCATGATAACGAAAGTTACTTTTCCTGTTAGAAGGATGTAACTTCAACTTATTCACGTGGCCAGATCGTGGCTTGGCATTCTGTTCTCAGGGTTGTACTTAATGTTTCGAAATCATGACTAGCGGGGTAAGATCGGCAACATAAAGCCACATTAGAAGCAAAGGATAAAAATCAAACAGATGATAAATGAAAACATGTTTGCATTTGTTATTCATGTATATATGTCTTTGAACTTGCATTTCGTTGTAATAATATTAAATGGGTGTTGGATTTGTATTTCTTCGTTTTAATAGTGAATTCCAACTTATACATGGTTAATAACATAATTTTATATACCTGCCTATCTTGCTCCATTACTGTTGCCCCTATACCAGGGGCAACTTTAATAAAAATAATTAAAATAATTACAACTGTACAAAAAGAGAGAAGTTGCCGATCTTGCCCCTATACCCGGGGCAACTTCGTCAATTTCTCTCTTCTTGTAAAGTTGTAATTATTTTAATTATTTTTATTTCCAAACTGATTTTAACCAGTTCTATAGTAAGGTAACATTCCAATAGACAATATGCAAAGCTTTTTTTTCAGTTTACAGCAGTATTTATTACACAAAATTTAAGTAAAGCTTAACATGCCGATCTTGCCCCGATCTCCCCTACTAATAGATTGTTTTTTACTCCCCTCCGAAATGACTGAATAATGCCTTTTTGAAATCATAAAAGTCGACAATTATTATACATTTTTACCGCATTCAACAACAACGACAATAAAAAACACCAATAAAAATTCGTAACAGATGTATAAACACTACAACAGATGTATAAACAATACTGTACTGAAATGTGGCAATTTTTATTTACAAAACGGCACTTGATTTCAGAATTTTGTATTTTATAGAGAAATTTAGAGCCTTTTTCGATTTTATGTATACAGAAATTTTCTTTAAACTCATTTTAACGTAATATAAATTGCTTTAAATGCGATATAACTATCTTTGTCTGTCTCAGTAACTCGAGTGTAATTTTCAGGTCAGCTGGATAGAGTCTTATTAAACTAAAAAACACAAAAATCATACTTATATGCCGTTTTCTATTGAAAGAAAAACTACAATTGATTATCTCCTTTCGATAGCAAATATATTTAAATTTCGAAACACATCCATCATTAAGGGGTTGGCCAGAAACCTCTTATCAGACGATTAGTGGATAATATATTCTTTCCGTTCGAAACTAAAATCCTTAAACTAATTGTTTGGTGTTTTGAAAATTGTTTAACAAGTAACTGTCGGTTGTGATTTATCAGCTACAATTTACCAAACGTTTTTAATTACAAAATAATTTAAGCAACTTTAGTTTCTGCTTTTTCATTTAAATCACCGAATGTCTTACAAAATTTAGATTTAGTAACAACATTTTTAAATGTATATATACGAGTATTGACTCCATTATCAACAAACACCCGAATATTGCCGAATCCATCGATAGCCAACGTACACGATGAATAAAATATTATTCATTTACGCTTTCTTTGGTAAGAATTTTTTTTTATTTTTAATTGTTATTTATATTAATTATTAAATTTCGTTCGCAACAATTATTTGTAGGAATTATTTTGTTGTACAATGTTGATGGGGGTGTCGTAAGAAAAAGAAAAGACATAAAGGTTAGTACGCTTTATAGATACGAGTGGCATACGTATCGTGTATTTTTGTGTTAAATACTAAATATTTATGGTTTTCAGTTACCGGATTGGTTGCCCAATCCGTTGGAGTGGAAAGACGATGCGGAGAAAATAATAAATTCCATGGGATCTTTAATATCCCATTTAGAAAACAGCAGCCCGAACAGAACTCTTGTAGCCGAAGACATTCAGGGCATTATGCAGGTTATTGATAAAATAAAAGGTACCCCAATTGATGGCGTTTTCAAATCAGTGGTACAAGCATTAAGTGAGTTAAAATCGGCGGTGGAAAATCCTTCGAACCAAGTCTACTTAGATGCGTGTGGAAATGCATTGAAAGTTATTAAACCGATCTTGGATGACATTAAAAAAGAAATAAATAATATTTTAGAACCTTTTGGAGTGCAAATATAAATATTGATTTATATGTAGAGAAAACAAATAAATCAATAGCAATTATCCAAAAATTCATGTATAATATCAATATATATATATTCTCTATATATACAAGTAACTATAAATGTTATTTAAAATAGTTGATTTATTTCTAATTCCTTTGTAAAGATAAAATAGTTATATCTGTGTAAATGTTCTCTGACTTTACTGTAAATAAATTTTTATTTACTTCTAACATTTCCAAATATTTTTCAATTAAATCGGTATTCCCATTTCTCGTATTGATTTTGCTTTCCCGGCTGGTATAGAATATCTCGTAGGTAAAGTATAGCGATCGGTCATATTTTCCTCCTCGGATGTTTTGCATTTTTCGGCGTTTTGACTCGTGTATTAAAAAACCTTTATAAAGTTCTCTGTATGTGTATTGTATTTGTGTGCGACAGTCGGCTTCTGTTTTACTTTATATCTCTGAACCCACGGAGAAAAACTTTCGAAATTTCACAGAAATACTTTTACATATAATATCCAAAACGCAATGGCATAAACGATCTATAAGTTGGGGAGGGAATTATGTGAAATATGTCCTGTGGGTAAAATACAATTACAAATTTTCTCATTATAACATCGGTAACTTTTTTAAAACTCGTACCATCTGTAAAAATAAGACATTTGCTTTATTGTAATTGATAATATAAAAGTTATTTTTAATAAATCCCAAATTTAAGCTATTACTATAGCGCACTTCCTATTACTCCAATGCCAGAAAGTCTAGCTTCATTAACACTGTTTATAACGGTGGAGACATTTTCGACGAATAAGGAACAAACCGGAAGTAACTTGTCACAACTGAGCAATCAACGAGTGATGCGCATTGGCTAACGTCCAAGTTGATTTTTTTCCATAGACGGACTATAATAACGTAATAAAGAAATTATTCACCATTACTAGTAATGAATCCTTCCGTCCTAAGTAAATAATAAACGTACTTACAATAGTAAACTATACATCTAACAGCATCTAAACTATACTTTTCTTTATTAATAAACTCTAGAAACCATTTTCTGTGTGCACACCCTTCCATGTGTGAGCATTGTAATCTCCCCTGTGTGAGTTCGACGATGATTTATGAGATGTTTTTGTGTAAAACTTCGTTTACAGTGGTCACACGTAAATGATATCTCTTCGGTGTGAATTTTCACGTGTTTATTTAAATTGTCGAAACGGTTAAATTTACGATTACAGAATTGACAAGACAACAGCCCATCTCCGGTGTTCATCCTATTATGATATTTTAAAGTACACTTTAAAGTACACATATATTCTTGTGGCTTCAATTTTGATATTCCACGAACAACAGAAGTTAAACACGTCCTTCGACTCGGGTGTTTTCCTGCAAACAATTCTTCACTCGTTACACAGAAATGCCTTTTATCGGTCAAGAGTGAACCTACAAATTACAAAACATTCTCTGAGATAAGACATAAGAATGACGGCAATTATTGTTTTCTAAATCAAATTAATTATTTAAAAATTAAACCAATAATTTTAAAAATTCTTTTCGGAAGTTTTGCACCAGAAAATTACAAATGCTTCTTTTTAAATATGAAAGAAAACACGTTCAATCAATTTTCTTTTCGAATCAATTGTACCGATACGTATTAAAAATGAATTCGCAGAGTGTTGTTATTCGAAATATAATACACTTAACAAGACTTATTCGCAATTTTTTCTAAGATATCTGCAAGAACAAAGGTAATTACATAGAAATCGTTGAGTTATTGACATTTTAATGTGTATTTGATTGCGATATTTCTTCCCTATTAATAGAATAACTGTATTTATTAATGAACTGATCATTTAATGATTGACACTGAGAAATTAAATCCCATTTTACGTATTTAATATTTCTTTCAATAAATGAAGTTGAATATTTATAATTTTTCCATATTGTAATTTCAATCTAATTTATCGGCAAAGTCATAAATAAATTGCTGACATTTATTTCCCACTTTATTAATTCTTTAAAATGACGGAATCTACTCGTAAAGAATATTTTCCCCAATCAATTGCCACGGTAGGAAGTGGTGTTTGTAAGTCCAAAAAGTATTAATTTAATTAAGGTTTGTGATCAGTATGTGTCAAACAACTACTACTCATATATATATATATATATAATTAAACTTTGGTACTTCCGGGATTATGTGATAAATAATTATTNACGTAAGGCGAGGTATACCTGTATTGTCTCTCTTATAGAATCTCTTCATTTTATGTTGCTTTGTAATACTCTTTACGTGTCGTAATTTATAATAATTCTTTACATACAACATCAGTTATATATGTACAGTACATATGTATATGTGATAAATAATTATTTTTTTATTAAACATTATCGACTGATTATAAACAGATTAATAAAACTGAACTTTCGGATAAACTAAACTTCAGTCGTTCGTTAATAGATAATTATTTCAATTAAGATTAATTTTATAGGAATGTTTATCTATTAAAAAGGTCTACAATGAAACAAATGTTATCTAGAAGTTCAGTTTTATTCATTTGTTCATATCATAATTTATTTTATCGCGTTACAAAAACAAAGACTTTGTTCTGTGACTATTTATAAAACGGTTGATAAGTTTATTGAAAACGAAAGATGCCTGGCAGGAAGATCAGAGATTAATTTTATCAACAAACTGTTTTTCAGTAATACTTACAGCAGTGTCTGGAAGAGACGGTTCCACTATTTTTTGAAGACAACAAAATGCTTAGAAAGTAAGTTTGATTATATTTATTAAATTTTATATTCTTTTAGATAAAGATTTTTATCTGAATTAAAATAATAAACAGGCTCAAAGATGTTATTAAACGTCTATTATATACGCGAAATTTTTGACAGTAGAATTAGACTTACTACACTCTTGAAAAAAAAGATTTGACGGGAAGAAAAATATAAAGAGTTCAAGGGACTTTTATTTTTCTAATAATTGTAAATTAATTTGATCTCTAATGTAGAAGACGTGGTTGCTGTATCATCTAGGGTTTCTTTCCCGGGATCCCGTTTTTTCGGGATTCTCGCCGTTTATTCCCTACGAGAAAAATCCCAGGAAATTTAATTTTCCCGGGAAATCTCGCATTTAAATAATAATTTACCCTGTCAGGTTTTCTTTCTATTATTTATTATACGAAAAGTTGCATCTTGAAGACTCACCTAGGAGAGAAATTTTGAGGTTTCTTGCTGCATATTATTACCTATGTTTTACAAGTCTCTACTTGTTAGTTCATATACAGGGCCGGATTAACCCACTTTGGGGCCCTAGACATTTTCTTCTTACGGGCCCCCTTTCTCACACTAGAAATAGAGCACACAAAAAATATAAAACAATAAATAAAACAAAACTAAATAATGTGAAAAACTAAAACAAATCTTAAATTTTTATTAATAAAAAATATTTAATACACAACAATAAATTTTAGTTTTTCTAGAAAAGTTTGAACAGTTTGTTTAAAAATTTAAAATATTGAAATTTGTTTTATTAAATGTCTAACAAAAGTTGTTGTAAAATAACAATATTACTTTAAAAAAAATAATTGTCAACAAGACCATGTCTTGTTTATAAAATCGTACTGCTTGCTGTGTTACCAGCTTAGAGGTATGAAGGAGTACATGTCAGGAGTTGCAATTTGGCACAGAGTATTAAGTGCCCAAATCATGCGCGCATAAAAAAACCTGACTTGTAGGTACTCGGGACCGAGAACCGAGTGAAAGTAAAATACAAAATGGCGACTCTCTCTACAAACAGGCAAACCGAAGTCAGGTGGTGAGAGTACCACCCACAGTCGTTCAAGGAAATGGACTCTGACCCTAGGACTGAACACGTAGTATTTTCTTTCTTAAATAAAATTTGTAATCTAATTTTGTAAATTTGGGAGTGCTTCAAATATGACATTAAAACAGGGTTTTATGTCGTTACAAGTAGGTTTTTTAACATTGTCTAGTATAGTAAAATCGTGGGACCAGTAAAAATTTGACGTTATAATCAGGTTAAACTGTATATTGTTTGTGCAAAATAAAAAAAAAAATTTCGGACGATACAATAGCCACGATTATTTTTTTCAAAGACGAGAAATTTTCGTTAGGCATCGACAAAAATTCAACCCGGGCCGACACGCAACGGAGAGAAATTTCGAAATTGGATAGGTTAATTTCATCGAAAATGCATGGTGGACGACCTCGTGGTCGTGGCTGGCGAAGTTTGAACGATCGCGCCCAAAAGCAGCGATACCAAAGAAGATTGGAGAATGAGAAAGAGATCCGCTTTGAGCGTCAAAGTGATTCCGCTTAGTAGTGTCTCCGAGACATAGTCGTGTCCCAAATACGGTTTTGCCGTTTTACTTGTTTAATTTAACTTTTTTGGTTAATATTTAAATGATATAATATTTTACCAGTTTTACCAGTATTATACAGTTGTCCAACAGAAAAGTAATCTATCTTATTTACAAATATTTTCCAAATAGACAGTTTGACCGGGCCCTTCTAAAAACCGGGCCCTAGACATTTGTCTCATTTGTCTATGCGATGATCCGGCCCTGTTCATATAATATCTATGTATTGTGTTTGCGCATCATTGAACAGCGAAGACTTGCTGAAAGTAAATATCACTCATCGCACTTTAGTTTATTTTTTATTTCATCTTTAGAAATAAAATAGTATTTTTTTCGTAATCATTAAAACTCCCAATGAAACGCTTTATTTTACTTTCATCTTATAATGTAGGAGAATATCAATTAATTGAGCCTGACGTGTCCGTATGGGTGAGATTGGCCCTACACTTTTACTTACTTACTGGAAAATAAATTAAATTATTCAAATTGATGATATTCCTGTATGATCTTTTTTATTCATATAAAATTCTATTTTACTATCTCATCCCGGGAAAAGAAATTATTTTTCCCGTAATCCCGCTGGAGGCAAATTTCCCGGGAAATGAGAAACCCTAGTATCATCAAATTAGGGTTGTAGCGTCTGTGTAATCCAAAACGAGTTGGTAGACGAACGATTCGTCTACCGTTCGTCTACCAACTCGTTTTGGATTACACAGACGCTACAACCCTAATTTGATCTCATTCTATGGTTAATGATAAATTAACAAATGCATTTGAAAAATTTTAAGTATTATTGATGACTTTATAATAAATTATCCGTACATAACCATATTTTTATATATATTTTATATTTTTAGATAAAGGAATATATAGAAACGTGTTAATTGGAGGATGTAATAATGTAATTTTCATGTAATGTACTGTACAAGGATGAATAATGTACAGTATTCATCCTTCTGTGTTCGGTTCATTTCAGTAGAAAATCCGATTCATCTTTAGTCAGAAGAGAAAATAGAAGAGAATAAGTGTCATATCTTTTTATTATTCTCTTCCCGTAACCATTTATAGTTGAAAACAACGATACAGAAGTATGCCCGTTTGTGTTCGGTACCTAAAATTTAAGATAAAACTTTGTAGTAAAGGTATTCGAAAAAGATTACGCGCGGGTTAAGTAATTTGAAAAGAAAAAAACATACAATTTTTTGGTTCAATGTCACGACCGAGTGAATTCGCAGATACTTGGCAATTTTCATCATCAACTCTTTATTTCGGAAGCGTAAGTGTGTCACCATTAAAGAGCGCAGTGTCGACCGAAAGCTTACGGGCATTAGACCGAGCAAAATATCATCGGAAAAGCCGAGTCATTACATAACACGTGTACACAGACCGAAACAGGAAAAGTTACGCGCGGTCTCGGGGACTTGGCCTATAACACAGGGAAAAATCTGATCTCCTTTCAAACAGTAACTGGGCGAAACATTATTGGCGCGGACGGCTCGAAGCTACCGAAATGTCGGGCGTTATAACTGTGTCACGTTTCTTTGTTGAAGTTTCTTAAATTAGGGTAGATAAAAGGAAAGTAAATTCCTATTTTTTTCTGAAGCATTTTTCGTAAAAAGGTTAGAATAATTGTATTTTTAAAATATTTACTTCCGTATTCCGAGCTGTAAACGTGATAAATGGAAGGGGTGTTTCTTCTTCTTACTATTAAACTACGTTTATATCCGATATACAGTACTCGCTTCTAAAAAATTACGGCTAAAACTACTTTCGGTAAATTAATTAATTTCGTAAGTATAAATATATGTTCATTAATAAGAAAAATTAATTTGGACTCGTTTTATTTTCAGATTTTAAACCCAGCCGACTCGAAACGTCGAAGAAAGAATTTCTGGAATGATTGCTTTAATTTTGAGACTTTTAATTTCTTTTAGAAATTAATGTGTGACGTTATTCTAGTATCTAGTTTCATTCAAAACTTTTTATTTTCAGATTTACTATTAACCAATAAAGAGTATTTCCGTCTAATAAATAAAGACTTGTATCCAGGAAAACACGAGAAGGATTGAAAGACGTGTTCAATTTTTGTTGTTAACGGAACACTGAAATTGAAGTCTGTATTAGGAACTATACAAGAATATAACGACAAAGAAACCATCGACGAAGATATTTTAAATAATTGTTTACAGAAAAAAATGTATAAGTTAATTTGCGATAGTATTTATGCGTGTTGGTAATATTAGTAAACACTGGAATAAGCAGTTAGCGTATGGCCGTAATGTGATATTGTTCGCGTTGGTTGGGAAGTTAAATTTCAGTTTAGTTTAACAATACTTTATGTAAATATAAATGCAGTAATTTTATTTCTGTATTTGATTAACAATAAATTAAAGAAGTTTTGATATTTTTATATAACGTATTTTACAGGTTTAAATAATGAGAAGAAAAATAATGAAAAATATCAATGCGACACTTGCAAGAAAGTATTCATTTCGAAGTATTACGTAAAATATCATCGAAGGATTCACAGTAAAGAAGGGCTATTTTCTTGTCAATTCTGTAATAGTCAGTTCAACTTCTCCGCCAATTTAAATCGGCACGTCAAGATTCACACCGGAGACAGACCTTTTACTTGTGATTATTGTAAACGAAGCTTTACACAAAAACAAGATCTGATAAAGCATATTCGTGTTCACACCGGAGAGAAGCCATACTCGTGTAATTATTGTTTACAAAAGTTTCGTTCTATATCTAATTTAAATGAGCACGTTATCAGACATCATAACAATAATGTCGAGTAATGTTTTCTATGAAGAAATGGAAAAATGTGATTGATTTTAGTTCTTTTCTTCGAAAAAGTATTTAACTCTCTTGTTTTAGATTTCATTGAGCACGAAGTCTTTAGTTTCTCGACTTTTGTAATGTTTATATTCCATGTAAAACAATTAATTTTATGAAGAGAAACAGAAAACGTTGCGTAGAATTATTTTTAATAAATGAAAGTTGAATGAAAATTGATTACCGTGAGTAACGGGAAAACATTCTGCAAAGATTCCCTGGCGTTGCATCGCCTGTATCTAACGCCATTCCTTCCATACACTCGCCTATTGAACAAATAGTTTGCTGTTTGAGTGTGTAATACGCTACTTAGTTTCAATTTTTTTGCATAGCGTACGATGTACCGAAAAAGTATTAAATTTAATGGTTAAGATAATATTTACAAATGCAAAGTCGGTTAAACATTACACCAGTGCTTCGTAATTTTCTGTCGAGTAAAATTATACAGCCGGGAGTACGTTATATACAGGGTGCGGCTCTCTAGGCGTGGTAATATCAAAATAAAGAAATTGGTTACCATGTGGAAATATCGGCAGTGTTCGTATTGTTCCAAACAATTTACACTATTTGTGTATAGTGACCATAAAGCTAGACACGTGCCGAAGAGAAATGTTTACTACAAAATTTTCTAGCGCTCGGAGATACGAAACCACATTTGTCGAGGTGGTAAATTTTGACACGCGGCTACAACGCATACATAAATAAATAATACATTTATTAATGTATCGAAGTCGAGACAGTGTTCTGCTTATTAAGTATAGACAAGGCCCAAAATGCGGTTTTAAAGTTGTAAATACTAATCGTAAACCGAAATTAATGCAATTCGTTCTTCTAAAATATTCATTTTAAATTTTTACAACTGTTATCGGACTTACTTCGGGGTTCTTGTAAAAGGAATTTACGAAAATAGTACATTCCTTGTACAAAAGCTTAAAGTAGGTCATTTACTTACATTTTACTGCATACGCGTTGCAATTTTCTGCACGATTGCTCTACATCTTCTACTAAAACACCAATTGGCTATAAAAATTGATATTATATTATTATATAGCGTCTTCTATATATATATATATATAAATGGCAATGTTTATTTGAATGTTTGTTCCCTATACATACGACCAATTGCTACGAAACTAGGCTGTTACGTTTATATACACCTAACTTAGATAATGTCGTACATCCCATTCCATAATATCAAAGGATTTTAATAAATCTATTGGTGATTTGTCTAAATCAGCGAATCGAATGTAAATCAGTAATTACATTTTCTTAAATTTCTTATAATGAATTACAAAAATTTTTGTAATCCATATTTATTTTTCCGAAGACTTTACATTAGTTTCTGGAGCCATCACGGCCCGTCTAACACAAATCACTTTTCAAATATTAATTAGTAAAAGTTGACCATCTTTTTATCCTACATTTGAAAATATGACGAATAATATGAATGCTAAAGCGAAAATATATGAAATAGGCCATAAATCGCAGCAATAAAATGCAATTACAGTATTTGTGTTTAAATACAGGCATTTAATTACCGTCGAAAAACAATGAAATTTATAACATTATTTCTCCGCATTGTTGTTTTCATTTTCGGCAAAATTTCTACTAAATTAAATTAAATGAAATTAATTAGAGTCAGAAATGGTTAGAAAAAATTTTATTTTGTAAAACGCTTTTTATGTGGCGATGACCTATTATAAACTATTTCTAATATTATCAATAATTACTTATTTTTACTCGACGGAATTTTTTAAAAGGAAGAAAAACTTCAATGCCCGATATGCAGTAAAACATTTGGGAAAAAACTAAATTTACGAAGACACATGCGAATTCACACGGATGACAAGCCGTTTAAATGCGACACCTGCGGAAGTTGTTTTTTGGATCAGAGCAATTTAAGACGGCACCAAGCGGTGCATTCGGATGAAAGACCATACAATTGCAATTACGAAGGCTGCAAATGGAGTTTTAAACTAAAATATTTATTACAACGGCACGTGTACAGAATGCATCCTCAAGAGATTTTATCTAAAGTAAATATTACCATAAATTCGTTTAAAGTAGAATTACCCAAAATGTGTTCTGTATTGTTCACGGTGTTATTAAACTACTTCGTATTATTTTGTTCAAATCACGAAATANATTTTCAAAAGTATCTTCGACCAATCTCTCGCTAAACACGAAGAGAAAGAATTTACAATACAATAAATACATAATTTTCATTCATTTCTTCTAATGCAATTGCTCGACTGTGTGTAATTAGTAATGTCAATAATAATAATATCTAAGCAAATTACGGCGCACGTCGTAAGCTATATTTTTATAAAATAATTTACTGTACATGTAGTTTAATAAAACTTAAACAAAATCATTCACTTTTAATTCCAACTTCATCTCAATTAAATAAATCACAACTTGTTTTTATAAATAAATTCATTTAATAATTAGACGTCACCAAATGACCCAAAGATAGAAAGCCGTAGATAGAAAAGCCGTAGAGAAAAGTTCACCTGCGGGAAACTTTTCTCTTCTCCAGCTACTGTAAGAGTTCACTGGAGAAGACACAGTAAAGAGCGGCAATTCTTCTGTAATTTTTGCGACTGCACGTTCCCATACCAAACTTCCTTAAAAAGACACATCAAAAGGGTCCACTCGAAAGAGGAAACTCTATCTTCCTGCCAGGTAAGTGTACATAACATTATAAAACTTTAAATAAAAGTAATCGGGCCTCCTGCCCCTAAGATTTCCATATGCGGTTTCGACGTTAATCTATCTAATCCGTTCTCGAAATTCTGAAAAGACTGACGGACAGATGGACAGAGAAACAACATTAGAAATTTATAAATCTATAATTTTTTAAAATTTCGACTTCATATTTTCACCAGCCCGAAACAGTGTTTTTATCCCCCATTGTTTAAAAGCCATCCAATAAGTAATGACAAATTGCGCTGACAGCAACCCGCACTCTATGGCTGTAGTAAATAATGTTTTATTTATACACATTCGAGAATGTAAAATCGTTACGAGTTTTTGTATTTTAACACTCAAATTGGTTTTTTAAACCAAATTCGAATGCGTAGATATATTAAACGTTATCGAATGTGTCGTTACAGCACGTAAAAGACGATATTAAAGATGTTGTAAGCGAGAAAAAAGAAAACGAATTTGATCCGTGTTGTAGCGCGGCGATTCGTTCCGAAGAAGCACAAAATCGACGTGAAGAAAACGTCTGTGGAATGACAAGCGACGCGTGGCGCGATGCCCAGGTCACTGGCGAAGACATTTACTTGGAAACAGATGCGGAACAATCGACGTGTTTCGATCTGTTCCCGGAAGTGAGAATCGATCGATACGAATTGGAATGCGTCTTGTGTCGAGTGAGGTTTGACGACCAAGTTTCTATGCGAGAACACGCGAAAAAGTATCATTAAGCCACATTTTCGATGATAAAAACGTTGAAATACTTTTCAGTTTACGATTGTTTCTCTGAAATTTATCTTTCGATTTTAACCTGTCGTCATCGGCAAATAAAGATTTTAAATGAGTTTACATTCAAATTTTAGTGACAAAACCACAAACGTTGTTTAATATTCAAAATTGTAGTGATTTAAAGAAATTATTAACAAATTCTCAATTATTTTGTTGAAGTTTAGAACTTTTTCTTTTTGAACATTACCAAAGTAAAAAATAATCTAATTCGGAATTATATGGAGATTATGTCGAGCTTAAGACATAATCTCCATATAAAGACATTAATTTTTCAACGTTATAGAGTCATAGAGAACATTTACGCACAGAATTAATACTCTGAGGTTAGCTTCAATCTGTGAGTGATCGGTGTCAGAACTTTAAGAAGCAAAATCTGGTATGATAGCTGTTGTATAAGAAAAATCGCTGTTTCTTTACTAAATAATATTTAGAAATAATTTCACTAACCAATTGGCCAAAGTTTTAAAACTCGCAATCACAATTGGCCAAAGTGTTAATAAAAACAATCCACATTGAAAAAGAAAATTAAAACAATTACAATCGAGACAAATAAAGATTTCACTGAAAGAAGGGCATTTAAATAGCAAATTTCTCAAGCTCATTTGTGAATACGCATTTATGAACAGAAAATTTCTTACACTAAAGATGGGAACAATAACCAGCAAACATACGTATTGTCTGCGAGTTCTACAAAAAATGATTTATGTTAATGCGAAGTCTATTCGACTCTTAATCACAATTAAAGAAAACAAAACTAAATACAGTAGTGTATTTAATTATTTTGAGGTTAAGTGGCATAATAAAATACTCGTAATGGGTGGTTTATCTATGCTCAATCACATTGTACTGGAATCCTTTATGTTACAACAAAAACTAGCAGTTATTCTTTTTATTCTTTTTATACATGCGCGTCACTTCCTGGAAACTATATCATAAAAGTACGTGAACTGTATGGAATGGATTTGTTTTCTGTAGATTTATATGCAAATCGATTGAGTCGCGAGGACCACGCCAAAATATGGCGATCGTTTCCTGGCTCGAGTGCAGAAACAGCTTTGAGTTTTAACGAATCTCCTTTACTTGATAATGCCAAAACTTCAATCGAGTGTACCATCCTGTCATTCCACCAAAGATTCTTAACAGCAATGAGAAATGCGGATTGGTTTCCAAAGAAGCCAATGAACTCGCACACGCTCGCAACCTTTGGCTCAGAGACCACTGGTATTCTTTTCAAAAATAGACTAACTTTGTCAAAATTTAAGAGATGGATTTGGGAAAATTACATTGAATGTCAATTAAATATCGATATGATAAAAGAAGAAGTTGAAGTTGATAAGTGCTACCAAATGTAGAGTTTCTGGATTATTATCTCTCATATTATCATTTATTTGGCCTAAACGGTCATTAAGTAACCTTCTGTGCAGCTATCTTCTCATTCCTGTCTTCTATAGTAAATGCTCACTATTTAAATTAGTGCTTTTGTCTCGGTGGATTCTTTTAACTTTGTCATATAAGCCTTTTTCATGTAAGTCCATTATCGGTTCGTCCAGACCCATAATACAGGAGTCTCAGTGAGTTGAAATGCATCGAAGTTTACACGTCGGCTACGGTACTGTTTAAAAAACACGGGTGTAGTCGCTTCGTCAATTAAAATAATCTGTCCACTCTAAACATAGAAAAATTATACGTGGTTACACAAATTATATCGCAATAATTACGACAACCTTACTGCTCAATAGACTATAGCTTATTTACTTACTTAAAAATATGTTAATTTTGAATTATTATTTTTTTGCGGGTTTGATAAATTTTATTTCATAGATTTAATTTTCGAGCGCACGTCTGCCGCTGCGTTGTCTCTCTCCCGTATGTGTCTAATGTCTGGGGTAAATTGGCTTACGTAATCTAAGTGTCGAAGTTGGCNTATAAATTTAATTTAACAAAATATTATTTAAATTTTATTTAACCGCGCAAAAGCAAAATATAATCAAATTAATGTATGTACTCACCTTTAATTTTTACTGTCTCTCTAACCACGATATTAAACAAAAACTTTTTAAGCTGTTGCGATTTACACGATTACACGTTTAAAATTAAAATAAAAGAAATTATCCCGGTGCGTGCATTTCTATGCTTTGACCACAGACGAGTATTTTCCTGTAAAATCTTCCTCGCGACCGACGTGAAAAATAGCTTAAGACGAGTTAAAACAAGAAACTGTTATACTTGCCACTGGTTGTGGCCTGAATAAGTTGTGTATATAAAATTTGAATTTGAAATATAATTAATAATATTTAGAATAGTACATATATTCAAATAATATTAGAATAGTAGTATTTAAATGATAATATTTAGAATAATATTTATGTATTATATTAATTTAATGATAAATTAATTTTTCCCTTTTTTTTAAGGCGGCTCGCGCCGCCCCCTAGACTTGCCGCCCGGGTGCCCCGCACCCTCTGCACCCCCGGGTCGGAACGGCCCTGGGCAACAGCTTAGGCGAACTAAGACCAAACGTGAGTCCACTTTCTGAGTCCACGGTGAACTAAACTTCCCGCCACAATTCAACCCTTTTATAGGATTGAAGCAGAATTGGATTCTACCAATCAGCTCTTAGCAGCTCTACAAAACGTCCGCCGATGGTGTGATGTTTCTTATCCAATCAACGGTCGAGTCTGCAAAAGTGGTCCGATTGCCGTATCGTATGATCAACCGTCGCTCGTCGAACGACTGGAAAAGCGCGGGAAACCCGTGCGCCAGACGATTTTTTTATCCGGACAATAGCCTTAGAAATAACGCCTGTGCGAACGTGCACAAGTATTTAAAAATGATAAAACCTGAACTCGTTTGCTACTGGAAGAGACTAAAATGCATAAAATGTGACAGCGAAAATCAGCCAAAAGTCACACGAGAAAACAAAAAGAAAAATGATATATTATTGGATTTCCAATTACAGTATTCTGGCGTTCAACTCGCGCGCATTTCATCACTCTCCGATAACAATACAGTTTTATAATATTATTTCTGCGTATTGTTGTAATCGTTTTTGACACAGTTTCTACACTCGATTTAAAATAGTAAATTTACAGTACTTACTATTTCAATTAAATTAACCAAAATCAAAATAGTGAGTAAAACCTTTATTTTGCGAAACACATTTAACTTGGCAATGTTTTTTAAAAATTCCTGTTAAGAAGACGCTTTCAATCTTAATCTTGTATCGTATCTACAACACGTATTATCTATTTGACCAGAATATTTCTAATATTAATAAACAATATATTTTTTACTAGTCACCTATTTTTACTCAACCGAATTTTTTAAAAGGAAAGAAAACACCAATGTACAGTACATATAGCATCTCGAAGAGGTTTTATCTAAAGTAAATATTACGACACTTACATTTTCTGTTTTCATATATTGTCAAGTATTAACTGAAAACTCGTTGAATAACTAGATGTCACCAAATGACGCGAAGATAGAAAGCCGTAGATGCGATACCTGCGGGAAACTTTTTCATTCTCCGGCTACTTTAAGAATTCACTCGAGAAGTCACACTGGAGAGCGGCCATTTTCCTGTAATTTCTGCAACGGCACATTCGCATCCAAAAGTAACTTAAATAGACACGCGAGAAAACTTCATTCGGGAAAGGAAACTCCATCTTGCATCGAGGTAAGTGTATAAATATGTTAATGACTAAACTTGTAACACACAATCGACCTTCAGAATGAAAAAACGATGATAATAACTTCACGAGTACACGTTGTTTCAATAATTATATAACTGTCTCTTCCTTACTCGGGCCACGCTTCTATTTGTAATAAAATAAACAATACTCGACATAATTTCTATGGATCCAAACTTTTGCCACCCCCTTTATATATACAACTCTATTAACAGGCAAAATTCATATGTTCGATTACGTTAGGTCAAGGAGGCGCCTTACAAATTATGGGATTGTATTAGATTATTCGTTCCGCAGTCAAACCGAATGATTGATGCGGGTTAATATATAGCAGTGCGGATACCGAAACATTTATTATTATTATTACTGTATTTATTATTGTTATTATTGTTTGTTATTATAAACGATAAGAAGCTTACAATAATTTTTCGACGTGACTTGAAAAATGTTCTTATACCCGGATGTGAACGATATTCCCTCGACGTATCCCTGGGTGAGGTGCGCCGGTGAAACTTTTGGGTGGTGTCTGCTGAGAAGCCGAAGCACACGGGCACAAAACAAAAGATTAGAACGTCTGCAATTTTTATGCAATAACGGCAAAAGGCAGCGAAAGAGAATACGGGTAATCAAATATGGGAAAAATCCTAGTGTCCTTCCGATGCGCGACTAAATATCCAGATGGGCCCGATTGGTCGGCCGAATGACGTCAACCTATTTCAATCGGGAATGTTCGTGGGTTAGCCTAAACTTTGTACTGTTGTTGTTGGTTTAAAGCTTTTTCTTTATGAAAATTACCAAGTAAAAATAATCTAATTCGGAATTGTACGAAGTTTATATATTGTTTATCTATAAACACATTAATTTTTCAATGTTATAGATTCATCGAGAACATTTATTTATGCCCAGTATTAGTATTCCGAGGTCATCCTCAATCTGTCGGTGAGCAATATCGAGAGATCCAATATAAACCCGAAAAAGTTTGCTAGAACAGAGCGATAGAACGAGGTGACACACGAGTGTGTGCGCGTTTGGTACACAGGTGAATTTCTCGTAGTGTTTTGAGAAAGAGACAGATCCTTACGAAATCATAACGGTAGTTGCTAAATTTGGCGAATTTTGAAAGTTCTAAAATATTATTTTCCAGTCGTTTCTAGAAAAAAACTCGAATTGCCTAAATTTCGCCTTTATAACCTGACACTTGTCTACAATCTCGCACAATTTAAAACTTTCTCAGCGCGTATTATTCGTATGTTATTCGCGGATTATGTAATTCTGAAATAACTTGGAGCCAAATGAAATTAAAAGCTTTATTGAGGAATCAAAAGAGTTTACAAAGAGAATGATTCTATTGGCATTCGCATCACAAGACGATAAATGTACTAATTGATACCAGACAATACTTTTGGGAGAATATTTCCTCCAAGGACTTCGATCGAATCACGTCTATTTTAAATTCAAATTAGTTCGAACCAATCCCAGTTTTTTCTTTACGAAAATTTTCGTGTACCAATTCCGTCTGAAACGATAAACAACGCTTAACAACATTTATTCNAATTTTTAACAACTTTGGGGGAAGGGGTTGGGTTAGGGAAGGGGCGGCAAAATTATTCTCGCACCCGGGCGGCAGATACCCTAGGAACGGCCCTGCTGTTGCCGAAGCTTGTCTCGTCTTGTTAGACTCTAAAGGACTAGAGTTAGTTCGTTGCAAGGTGTCTTTTCGACGGACCTCTGATAGTGGATACGTGTTGAACTTTGTTATAATTAACATTTTGTAAATGTTTGTTTTGTGAACTTTGTAACTGTACATACGTTTATTTTCAATATACATATAAGTTTTGAATTTTAAATGGTGTATGTGGTATTTTGAACTTTACTGCTATGATAGAGGCATGAGATGCAGCTTGCTTTGTTTGAGATTACTTTCGGTAGAGCTAACTTACATATGCCAAAAGATTGCTTTTCAAACTTCACATTTCCCATACTTTTTGGTTCATACAAGCCTATGAATACACGTGCGTTCAAGTATTAATAGTAACGTCCCATTAAAGTCTTAACATCCCATGTCGAAATGCATCGGTCGAATACGGGAAGACAGTTAACTTTTTATCATTACTTAAAGAACTAGCTAATTCTTAGCTTATCCGTCATCGGACGTTTCAATGATACTAATGGTGGATGCGTCAGACTACACAATAGGAACAGCTCTTCAACAAAAAATAATTCCTCGAACTTCTGGGCTTCTTGTCTAAGGCCATTACCAAGCCACAGATAAAGTATAGTCTCTACCACTGCAAATTCCTGGTGGCGCATTCGGCAGTAAAACATTTTCGCCATATCTTAGAAGGCAGGAACCTTAGAATATAAAACCGTAGCATATAATTCAAGCAGCATTCGGACAAAGCATCCCCTCGCCAACTTCGACACTTAGATTACGTAAGCCAATTTATTCCAAACATTAGACACATACGGGAGAGAGACAACGCAGCGGCAGACGTGCGCTCGAAAATTAAATCTATGAAATAAAATTTATCAAACCCGCAAAAAAATAATAATTCAAAATTAACATATTTTTAAGTAAGTAAATAAGCTATAGTCTATTGAGCAGTAAGGTTGTCGTAATTATTGTGGTATAATTTGNTCATTGGTGCCAGATTTCACAGAAAGGCGAGACAATGGAAAATAAAGTTTGAAGCTTTTTCTTCAGAATTAACGCATATCTTTCGTTTTATTTTCAATTTTAAGTATATTTTATGTGTAATTAAAAATTCTACAAAAAAGTTACCGAGAAGGGGTTAAATACACGCGCATTTAATCACCGTCGAAGAACAATGAAATTTATAACATTATTTCTCCGCATTGTTATTTTCATTTTCGGCAAAATTTCTACAAAATTAAATTAAATTAAATTAAATTAATTATCGTCGGAAATGGTGAGAAAAACTTTTATTTTGTAAAACGCTTTTTATATGGCGATGTTTTTCAAAATTCGTCAGACAACACTTTCAATCCTAATCTCGTGTTGTATCTAGAATACATATTATAAATTAGACCATAATATTTCTAATATTATCAATAGTTTCTGTTTAAATTTATCAATAATTACTTATTTTTACTCGACGGAATTTAAAAAAAAAGAAAAAAAACATCAATGCCCGATATGCAGTAAAACATTTGGGAAGAAATTAAATTTACGAAGACACATGCGAATTCACACGGGTGAGAAGCCGTTTAAATGCAACATCTGCGGAAGTTGTTTTTTGGATCAGAGGTGTTTAAGACGGCACCAAGCGATGCATTCGGATGAAAGACTATACAAGTGCAATTACGAAGGCTGTAAATGGAGCTTTAAAGTAAAATATTTATTACAACGGCACGTGTACAGAAAGCATCCCCAAGAAATTTTATCTAAAGTAAATACTACGACAAATTCGTTTAAAGTAGAAATAACAGTAATGTGTTCTTTATTGTTTACGGTGTTATTAATTAAACTACTTCATATTACAACTAAAATTAAAGACCAGAACACTTGCTGAACTTACTGCAATTTAATATTTAAACGCTTTCAGCCTATTCTTATATGCCATCCTGAGGAAACTATCGTTCCACAACGAACAACTGGAACAAAGAAATGGGGTTTTTAACTCTCATTTCTTTTTGTATTTCGTATTTCCAGGCCATTGGGAGAGAGCATTTGCGTCTTTTGCATTTCGGCAACTATTGTTCACTTTACCCTTATATATTTGTATCTTCTCCATACCTAACGCAATCATCGGAGAATGGACTGTCTCAACTATTCTCGCTTCATCTCATTTCACGTTCGCTCCTTCTGTTTGTGCCACGACTGCCAAAACTGTGTTATTATGTCCTTTATTAACGTCATATTTGTATTCTCTTAAGTGTATTGCCAAGCTTTTTCTAGTGACCCCAATATTCCCATCTTTCGAGTAAGAAGTTTTCTGTTCATAGATTTCGTGGCGTAAAAAAAAAAAAATGCATATTCGCAAATGAGCTGGAGGAATTTGCTCTTTAAACGCTCTTTTTTCAGTGAAATCTTTGTTTCTCTTGATTGTTATTGTTTTAATTTGTTTTTTCAATGTGGATTGTTTTTATTAACACTTTGGCCAATTGTGATCGCGAGTTTTAAAACTTTGGCCAAAGTAAGGAGACAGCGACTCCTCTTTTACAGGAGCTACCATACCAGATTTTGCTTCTTAAAGTTCTGATTCTAGCAAACTTTTTGCTTATATAATAGATGTCTCGACAGCAATCACTAATAGGTTGAAGCTAATATCTGTGTGTAAATGTTCTCTATAACGTTGAAAAATTAATGTCTTTATGACTTAATTTGTGTTTATAGAAAAACAATATATAAACTCGACATAATCTCCATATAATTCCGAATTAGATTATTTTTTACTGTGGTAATTTTCAAAAAGAAAAAGTTCTAAACTTCACCAAAATAATTGAAAATTTTTATTAGTAATTTATATTTGATGTAAATCATTACAATTTTGAATATTAAACAACGTTTGCGATTTTGTCACTAAAATTTAAATGTAAACTCATTTAAAGTCTTTACCTGCCGATGACGACAGATTAAAATCGAAAGAAAAATTTCAGAAAAACAATCGTAAAGTGAAAAGTTTTTATCATTGAAAATGTGGCTTAATGATACTTTTTCGCGTGTTCTCGCATAGAAACTTCATCGTCGAACTTCACTCGACACAAGACGCATTCCAATTCGTATCGATCGATTCTCACTTCCGGGAACAGATCGAAACACGTCGATTGTTCCGCATCTGTTTCCAAGTAAATGTCTTCGCCAGTGACCTGGGCATCGCGCCACGCGTCGCTTGTCATTCCACAGACGTTTTCTTCACGTCGATTTTGTGCTTCTTCGGAACGAATCGCCGCGCTACAACACGGATCAAATTCGTTTTCTTTTTTCTCGCTTACAACATCTTTAATATCGTCTTTTACGTGCTGTAACGACNCACGAGCACACGTTGTTTCAATAATTATATAATTGTCTCTTTCTTACTCGGGCCACGCTTCTATTTGTAATAAAATAAACAATACTCGACATAATTTCTATGGATCCAAACTTTTGCGACACCCTTTATATATACAACTCTATTATAACAGGTAAAATTCATATGTTCGATTACGTTAGGTCAAAGAGTTGCCTTACAAATTATGGGATCTTATTAGATTATTCGTTCCACAGTCAAACCGAATGATTGATGCGGGTTAATATATAGCAGTGCGGATACCGAAACATTTATTATTATTATTACTGTATTTATTATTGTTATTATTGTTTGTTATTATAAACGATAAGAAGCTTACAATAATTTTTCGACGTGACTTGAAAAATGTTCTTATACCCGGATGTGAACGATATTCCCTCGACGTATCCCTGGGTGAGGTGCGCCGGTGAAACTTTTGGGTGGTGTCTGCTGAGAAGCCGAAGCACACGGGCACAAAACAAAAGATTAGAACGTCTGCAATTTTTATGCAATAACGGCAAAAGGCAGCGAAAGAGAATACGGGTAATCAAATATGGGAAAAATCCTAGTGTCCTTCCGATGCGCGACTAAATATCCAGATGGGCCCGATTGGTCGGCCGAATGACGTCAACCTATTTCAATCGGGAATGTTCGTGGGTTAGCCTAAACTTTGTACTGTTGTTGTTGGTTTAAAGCTTTTTCTTTATGAAAATTACCAAGTAAAAATAATCTAATTCGGAATTGTACGAAGTTTATATATTGTTTATCTATAAACACATTAATTTTTCAATGTTATAGATTCATCGAGAACATTTATTTATGCCCAGTATTAGTATTCCGAGGTCATCCTCAATCTGTCGGTGAGCAATATCGAGAGATCCAATATAAACCCGAAAAAGTTTGCTAGAACAGAGCGATAGAACGAGGTGACACACGAGTGTGTGCGCGTTTGGTACACAGGTGAATTTCTCGTAGTGTTTTGAGAAAGAGACAGATCCTTACGAAATCATAACGGTAGTTGCTAAATTTGGCGAATTTTGAAAGTTCTAAAATATTATTTTCCAGTCGTTTCTAGAAAAAAACTCGAATTGCCTAAATTTCGCCTTTATAACCTGACACTTGTCTACAATCTCGCACAATTTAAAACTTTCTCAGCGCGTATTATTCGTATGTTATTCGCGGATTATGTAATTCTGAAATAACTTGGAGCCAAATGAAATTAAAAGCTTTATTGAGGAATCAAAAGAGTTTACAAAGAGAATGATTCTATTGGCATTCGCATCACAAGACGATAAATGTACTAATTGATACCAGACAATACTTTTGGGAGAATATTTCCTCCAAGGACTTCGATCGAATCACGTCTATTTTAAATTTAAATTTAGTTCGAACCAATCCCAGTTTTTTCTTTACGAAAATTTTCGTGTACCAATTCCGTCTGAAACGATAAACAACGCTTAACAACATTTATTCAAATTTATATTTTCGTGCAAAAAAGAAATTCCACTTACCAATTCGGAATACATTTCATTGAACAAGGATTTTATCTCAAAAATTTCCATACGCATTTGTATTTGGTAAATTATTTCCTTTCTCCCGTCTTGTTTTTCCGTGTGTTCTCGTGTTCATCAGACATTCAATAAATTCTATGGACGTAGTATACAGTTAACGTTGCCGAGGATTAACTTATATTTTCGTTTTCGATGCAATTCTCAGCAGATTTCGATCGGGATTCGACACAGATCGAGTGAAGAAATTAATAGGAAGCGTCAAAATTCGAGTATAGACATAATTCGAAAGTCAAAATTAGTAAATAGACAAAATCGAGAGTCGAAATTCGAGTATTGACACAATTTGGGAGTCAAAATTAGTGGATAGATCATTCGGTAGTCAAAGTTCAAAAGTAGTCACAATTCTGGAGAGTCGAAATCAGAAAATAAGCACGTTCAGACGAGTCAAAATCGGTGAGAGGTCAAATTCGGTGAAAGACATTATCGTAGAGACACAATTTTTTAAATTCCTCAATTCTTTTAATTTGTTTTTTAACTTTAAATTTCTAAAATACAGAACGAAAGGCGTACAACAACGATACCGAACGACAAAGACATATAAGAAACAAATAAACAAAACAATGAAAAACAAATAGAAAGAGACCGAAATCTCCGAATCTCTTCCAAGATCTGTGTAAAAAAATAAAAATTATGAAGGTTTTCATTTACAAATTTCAAATATTTAAATTATTCTTAAATCACTCCTATTATTGTTTAGTAATTACGGTAATTGTTGCTGCTATGTATGATTTATTATGTATCAAATATAATTTATTATTGTCAATTTTATTATTTTAGAACTTTCGTCTAAACATATTCACGCATATTACCGAATAATCTTATCTCTACATCCTATTATGATATTTCGCAGTGTTGCGAGACGAAGTTTTATCTCACAGAGAGCAAAAATTACGTATGCCCGAGGCCCTAAAAACCTAGGCTATCTGTATGTAAAATCGCAATAACATTAATCTACTAGTTTTTCTCTTTTTTGTCCAATCATTTAATTGTAAAATATGACCGTCGATTGTATTGTACTTATAAAATGACAGTGCAAAATCTCTTAAATGTTTACTGTAAAATACAAAAGTATTGCGATCAACACTTACCCAAGACGAACTCGGACCAAACCAGAAATAAATCTCTTCGGATATCGACAGAGATCTTACTCCAACCGAGCATACTCGGATTCTTCACCCTCTCTCCACTTACGCACGGTTCTAAACATAGAAAAAAACAATGTTAGAAGTAATATTACTCGTTGAAAACGTGTAACTATATTTGAATTATATCAAAAGCTATCGAGGACGCTATATCGAGGTTCAAGCTTATCACTATTGACCGACGGCGAATATATTACGTCGTAGCGAGAGCGTGGACCTTTCTATTAAATCTTTCGGTAAGATTTTAAATTCAATTTACCATTAATAAAGTTTTATTCTTTCGTTTTTGAATCTATATTTTTGTCGAATTAGAAATGACACTCGCTCGAAAGAAGATTATATCGTCAAATTTCGATATAGCGCCAGAGAATACGGGAAAATTATGTGTTTATAATCAAATTACGCAGCTTTTAAAATAAAACTTGTGTGCAGATTTTAATAATAGACATAATTTTTGGTGTTTCGGGTAGTTCGGTTTCGCGCCACCTTCGATTTAGTGCCAATTTATACAAACTTTAAACGTACGTCTATAGAAAAACTTACCTCTTAACCGGCTTCCACATCGATTTAAAGAAAGATCCAACCTTCTTCAACGGACTTTTCTCGCGATATTCCACGTTATTTTCAAAAGTATCTTCGACCAATCTCTCACTAAACACGAAGAGAAAGAATTTACAATACAATAAATACATAATTTTCATTCATTTCTTCTAATTTTTAAATAGAATATATTAAAATTCCCCAATCAATATTTCAAAAACAAATTATATATCGCGTTAATAAGTTTATTGTTATTTTGTGAATGGAAGGATCCTCTTCTAACTGCTAACTCAAAAACTTGTGTGCACAACTCATACTATATTTAATTCTTATCGTTTGATGTAGTTTAGCGCCTCACTCGATTTAGTGCCAGTCTCGGAAGCGAATAAAATATGACACTATATCGAAGTTTGATTACACGTACAGTACTTAAGGACGGATCGAAAATACGACGTTATATTACGATAGAGCCGAATAATTCGTAGACGTTTGTACCTTTTTACGTACAAACGTCTACGAATTTTACTTATCATTGTGTATATTGTATATTTAAATGATGATCGCTAACAACGTATTTCTCGGAACACATCCTCATCGTTAAAAGCAACACACTCGTACTACCGTATATTATAATGTAAATACTCGGTATTATAATTTACCTCTCGAAGCGATCGCACATTCTCCGATACAAAGGTCGAACCTTATTCAACGCCTTTGTACAAGCGGATTTGATGTTATTGTCAAATACGTTAGGACATTCGGCAGTACATTGTACCGATTCGTCCCGCCGTAGGAGGCCTTTCTTCCTCTTCGCGCGCAATCTAAAATGATCCGTATTGTTTCGATGGACGAATCCGCGCGTATCCAATCTCTCCCTAAATATAAACAGAGAAAATTTGTAACACAATTAATATTTATTATCGAGGGGTTTCTTTTGATTTTGAAATTAAATATACAAATGTTTGCCAAAGAGTATTTTGAAAGAAAACAGAGAATTTATTATACTGTAAAGAAAGTTTTCATTTAATCCCTCATAAAATTTCACATTCAACTATAAACTGAACGAATCTGTGCGGCTTATGAGTAATTACAGTCTTTCTTTACCGCGGAAATTACAGTATAAACATTGTAAGACACAAAAACGTTCAAGAAATTTCGGTATTTTACTTTGCCGAATTCGATTTCCTCTACGAATTTTACATTACTTCACAATATAAGATTTATCGTTTTCTTCTTCGGCTATTTTGCTAATTATTCAGCATATTTATAACGGTTTTAGTTTAATATCGATGGCGATCTTTCGATACTTGTAGAAGTATCCGAGAATCAAAAGCTTTATATTTAATTAAGGGAATTGCTGTCGATTAACTATAATTTGGTCGAGAAATTTCGCCTTAAAACCTATAATTTCTTCTGTGAATTGTTATTTGAATAAATAAGAATAAATTGTTAAAAATCTCTCACCCGAAGGGATCAACCAAGGGACGATACCCAGAAAAATCTAAATTCATTTTCCAAGACTTCGAAATCGCACTCTTTACAACAATAAGAGCAAACAAACAATCGGCCAATTGTTGAGTTCCTTTGTTACGCTTCAAATTAAGATTAAAGAAGATTTAATGAATAATTTATTATTTATTTTCTCTTTTAATTCGAAAACTCGACTCAGTCGTCGTTATTGTATAATAACGACTGAAGTATGAAGAAAATTCTTTAAATGTTTCATCATACTTCAGTCAAAACTTTTGCGAATTTTTAGATCCCCGAATTACATTTCGGGTTCTCCGGAGCAGTAGAGTGATCTTGACATAGTTTCCTCAATAATTTTGTTAATGGTTCAATATGGAACAGAGATTGGAAGAATTATAAAGAAGGAGGGTGTATATAAAATTGTCATTCTTCACGATATGTGAATTCGGTCAAAATTCATAATTATTGGTAAAGAATGCTTCGAAACAGGAATTAACACAATGGTGATAAGCGCAGAGATGTACAGTACAAAAAGTAAATGAAATGCCAGGCATTCGCGGCCGAAATACCTCAGTTGGGAGAGCGTTAGAAAAATTCCCGGTTCTATCCCGGATTTCGGCAGATCTGTGCTTTTTTTTGTTTTTAAAGTAGTTTTCGTATCAAATCAAGTACTTATACACATTAAACTACAATTGATTTCCAAAGTTATATTCGGATCCTGTTCCGACAGATCAAACGAAAACAGGACTGTCCCGAAGTCGATAGTAGAGATTGTATACCGATTTAACGGTTAACCGATAAATTGACAAAAAAAACGTTCGGTAAATTTTTGAAATTTACCGAACGTTTTTTTGTCAACGTAATTCGGTAAATGAAAAATCCATACTAGAAATTTTTATGTAGAAAATATTGTGTTTATAGATATTTAAACGGGCTAAAGGGACATTGGAAATAAAAAAACAGGTAAGTATAAGCAACAATATACCTAATTATTAATTTTATGTGAGATATTTTTTGTTTAATTTTAATTTAAACTTTGTTGGGTTTGAGAGGCGCTGTAAATTGTACAGAAAGCTGTAGTTATCGTATGTGATTTGTGCTCCGCAGTTTTTTGAGATTTTTAAAGGTTTAAAATCTTTACAATCAACGTTTTTCTTAAAAACTAAGTAAACATCTCCTTTTTTAATATTTAGAAATAATAATAATACGTAAATATTTCACGTATTTTTTAAATTAATAGCAATTTTGAATACACCGCATTACGACCGGACGTTAATGCAATATTATTGTAAAATAACATTAAAATTTGAACTTTAAATAAATTTTTTACTTCTAACAACTATCTAAAATAATTAAATACAAATATTTATTACAAGATTCTAACATTACGCCTTAAGATTGTGCAAAATATGTATTATTCTAACTCTATTTTCGTGGGGAATCTCCATTACTCTCACGAAAAGAACTTTGTTTAATGTTAGATTGTAGAATCGGGTGGAATAGCTTACTAAACACGCTGCAAAGATTTTTTATTACTTAAAGATGTCCGAAAAAGTGGTAAATTTGCCATCCCTACTACGTACTGTACTTCGAGCAACTTGCCTACGTTTTCTATCTTTTAGTTCAAGGGTTTAAGAACGAAGTTTAGGAGCATCGTCCCCTTACGCATTAACGGTATAGTTATATACCGTTGTACCGCGTTGTATCATTTACGAAACTTAAAAAATCATAATACGCCCGATGCGCATTTTATCTACGGATATTTCCAGTTAATTTTACGCAAACAAAACGTCAATGTTTTAATAAATTAACCGAAACACAACTGCAAATGTTGAAATGCCACTGCGGGTTGTAGATGTATATTTAATTAGAGTTTTGTCTTTTTGATTTTATCGAATATAATTAAATTATTAAAACTGGTTTCGTATAAAATAATTTATTATTCTTTCATTTTTAAAATATTACGTACATAAATTAATTTACAAACAAATCATTTGTGAGGAAACTTCGAAGCGAAGGTCTACAACAATCCAAAAATAATAAAACCGAAACTCGTTTGCTACTGGAAGAAAGTAAAATGCCAAAATGCATAAAATACGATTTTAAAAGTACTTTTTATTCTACGTTTGAAAATATGACGAATAATATGAATGCGAAAACGTAAATATGTGAAATCGGCCATAAATCACAGGAATAAAATGCAATTACAGTATTTATGTGTTTAAATACACGCGCATTTAATCACCGTCGGAGAACAATGAAATTTATAACATTGTTTCTCCGCATTGTTGTTTTCATTTTCGGCAAAATTTCTGCAAAATTAAACTAAATTAAATTAATTACCATCAGAAATGGTGAGAAAAACTTTTATTTTGTAAAACGCTTTTTAGATGGCGATGTTATTTCAAAATTCGTCAAACAACACTTTCGATCTTAATCTCGTATCGTACCTAGAATACATATTATAATTAGACCACAATATTTCTAATATTATCAATAATTTCTGTTTAAATTTATCAATAATTACTTATTTTTACTCGACGGAATTTTTTGAAAGGAAGGAAAACATCAATGTCCGATATGCAGTAAAACATTTGGAAACGAACGATATTTACGAAGACACGCGCGAATTCACACGGATGACAAGCCGTTTAAATGCGACACCTGCGAAAGTTGCTTTTTGTATCAGAGCAATTTAAGACGGCACCAAGCGGCGCATTCGGATGAAAGACCATACAAGTGCAATTACGAAGGATGTAAATGGAGCTTTAAACAAAACTATGAATTAAGTCGGCACGTGTACAGAATGCATCCTCAAGAGATTTTATCTAAAGTAAATACTACCACAAATTCGTTTAAAGTTGAAATACCAAAAATGTGTTCTGTATTGTTTATGGTGTTATTAAACTACTTCGTATTATTTTGTTCAAATCACGAAATATATTACTTTGTTAAAATTAAATGCAAATTACAGTCGAAAAGACTTCCAAAAAACAATTGCTCGACTGTGTGTAATTGCTAAACTCAATAATAATAAGATTTAAGCAAATTACGCCGCACCTCGGAAGCTATATTTTTATAAAATAATTTACCGTAAACGTAGTTTAATAAAACTTGAACATAATCATTTACTTTTAATTTGGACATCGTCGCGATTAAATAGATCGTGGAGATCGATTCGCAACTTGTTCTTATAAATAAATTCATTTAATAATTAGACGTCACCGAATGACCCGAAGATAGAAAGCCGTAGATGTGATATTTGCGGGAAACTTTTTTATTGTCCAGCCGCTTTAAGAATTCACTCGAGAAGACACACCAAAGAGCGGCCATTCTTCTGTAAATTTTGCAACTGCACGTTTCCATACCAAACTTCCTTATACAAACACATCAAAAGGATCCACTCGAAAGAGGAAACTCTATCTTCCTGCCAGGTAAGTGTATAAATGTGTTAATTACTAAACTTTTAACACCCAATCGACTATTATAATAAAAAGTAATAATAATTTACTTATGTCACCAGCACATATTGTTTGATGATATATAAATATATTCGACAAACGAAAACACTATCCTATATTAAGAAACCGATTTCTTAAACCAGAAGAAAAACACTATTTCCTTATCCGAAGAACTAAACAATCATACATTTAAATAATTATTTCGAGTTTATTGGTTATAAACAACATAAACATCAATTTATATCGAATGTAATATAAAAAGCATCATTGGGTTTTCACGAGACGGAAAGTATAAAATCCGATAAATCACGTAAACAACTAAAGAAGTTTCAGTTTATTATTGTGAATAAAGAAATGACAATTAAACTGCACGCGTGCGAACCCGAAGATTTAAGTATTTAATCCGCAATCATTTTAGAAAATGTCTAGGGTAGAAATAAACTTACAATACACGACACAAGTTAAATAATAAAAATAGACTAATGTAATAAAATAACATTATAAAAAGCACTTTTCAACACTTTGTACATAGTTTTATTGACGAAATACATAACGTTATAAAACTTTAAATAAAAGAAATCGGGCCTCCTGCACCTAAGATTTCCATATGAGGTTTCGACGTTAATCTATCTAATCCGTTCTCGAAATTCTGAAAAGACTGACGGACAGATGCACGGACGGACGGACGACATTAGAAATTTATAAATCTATAATTTTTTAAAATTTCGACTTCATATTTTCACCAGCCCAAAACAGTGTTTTTATCCCCCATTGTTTAAAAGCCATCCAATAAGTAATGACAAATTGCGCTGACAGCAACCCGCACTCTATGGCTGTAGTAAATAATGTTTTATTTATACACATTCGAGAATGTAAAATCGTTACGAGTTTTTGTATTTTAACACTCAAATTGGTTTTTTAAACCAAATTCGAATGCGTAGATATATTAAACGTTATCGAATGTGTCGTTACAGCACGTAAAAGACGATATTAAAGATGTTGTAAGCGAGAAAAAAGAAAACGAATTTGATCCGTGTTGTAGCGCGGCGATTCGTTCCGAAGAAGCACAAAATCGACGTGAAGAAAACGTCTGTGGAATGACAAGCGACGCGTGGCGCGATGCCCAGGTCACTGGCGAAGACATTTACTTGGAAACAGATGCGGAACAATCGACGTGTTTCGATCTGTTCCCGGAAGTGAGAATCGATCGATACGAATTGGAATGCGTCTTGTGTCGAGTGAAGTTCGACGATGAAGTTTCTATGCGAGAACACGCGAAAAAGTATCATTAAGCCACATTTTCAATGATAAAAACTTTTCACTTTACGATTGTTTTTCTGAAATTTTTCTTTCGATTTTAATCTGTCGTCATCGGCAGGTAAAGACTTTAAATGAGTTTACATTTAAATTTTAGTGACAAAATCGCAAACGTTGTTTAATATTCAAAATTGTAATGATTTACATCAAATATAAATTACTAATAAAAATTTTCAATTATTTTGGTGAAGTTTAGAACTTTTTCTTTTTGAAAATTACCACAGTAAAAAATAATCTAATTCGGAATTATATGGAGATTATGTCGAGTTTAAATATTGTTTTTCTATAAACACAAATTAAGTCATAAAGACATTAATTTTTCAACGTTATAGAGAACATTTACACACAGATATTAGCTTCAACCTATTAGTGATTGCTGTCGAGACATCTATTATATAAGCAAAAAGTTTGCTAGAATCAGAACTTTAAGAAGCAAAATCTGGTATGGTAGCTCCTGTAAAAGAGGAGTCGCTGTCTCCTTACTTTGGCCAAAGTTTTAAAACTCGCGATCACAATTGGCCAAAGTGTTAATAAAAACAATCCACATTGAAAAAACAAATTAAAACAATAACAATCAAGAGAAACAAAGATTTCACTGAAAAAAGAGCGTTTAAAGAGCAAATTCCTCCAGCTCATTTGCGAATATGCATTTTTTTTTTTTTACGCCACGAAATCTATGAACAGAAAACTTCTTNCGCTTGTCATTCCACAGACGTTTTCTTCACGTCGATTTTGTGCTTCTTCGGAACGAATCGCCGCGCTACAACACGGATCAAATTCATTTTTTTTTTCTCGCTTACAACATCTTTAATATCGTCTTTTACGTCCTGTAATGATACATTCGATAACGTTTAATATACCTAGGCATTCGAATTTTTTTTAAAAAACCGATTTGGATGTTAAAATACAAAAACTCGTAACGATTTTATATTCTCGAATGTGTATAAATAAAACATTATTTACTACAGCCGTCGAGTGCGGGTTGCTGTCAGCGCAATTTGTCATTACTTATTGGATGGCTTTTAAACAATGGGGGATAAAAACACTGTTTCGGGCTGGTGAAAATATGAAGTCGAAATTTTAAAAAATTATAGATTTATAAATTTCTAATGTCGTCCGTCCGTCCGTGCATCTGTCCGTCAGTCTTTTCAGAATTTCGAGAACGGATTAGATAGATTAACGTCGAAACCTCATATGGAAATCTTAGGTGCAGGAGGCCCGATTTCTTTTATTTAAAGTTTTATAACGTTATGTATTTCGTCAATAAAACTATGTACAAAGTGTTGAAAAGTGCTTTTTATAATGTTATTTTATTACATTAGTCTATTTTTATTATTTAACTTGTGTCGTGTATTGTAAGTTTATTTCTACCCTAGACATTTTCTAAAATGATTGCGGATTAAATACTTAAATCTTCGGGTTCGCACGCGTGCAGTTTAATTGTCATTTCTTTATTCACAATAATAAACTGAAACTTCTTTAGTTGTTTACGTGATTTATCGGATTTTATACTTTCCGTCTCGTGAAAACCCAATGATGCTTTTTATATTACATTCGATATAAATTGATGTTTATGTTGTTTATAACCAATAAACTCGAAATAATTATTTAAATGTATGATTGTTTAGTTCTTCGGATAAGGAAATAGTGTTTTTCTTCTGGTTTAAGAAATCGGTTTCTTAATATAGGATAGTGTTTTCGTTTGTCGAATATATTTATATATCATCAAACAATATGTGCTGGTGACATAAGTAAATTATTATTACTTTTTATTATAATAGTCGATTGGGTGTTAAAAGTTTAGTAATTAACACATTTATACACTTACCTGGCAGGAAGATAGAGTTTCCTCTTTCGAGTGGATCCTTTTGATGTGTTTGTATAAGGAAGTTTGGTATGGAAACGTGCAGTTGCAAAATTTACAGAAGAATGGCCGCTCTTTGGTGTGTCTTCTCGAGTGAATTCTTAAAGCGGCTGGACAATAAAAAAGTTTCCCGCAAATATCACATCTACGGCTTTCTATCTTCGGGTCATTCGGTGACGTCTAATTATTAAATGAATTTATTTATAAGAACAAGTTGCGAATCGATCTCCACGATCTATTTAATCGCGACGATGTCCAAATTAAAAGTAAATGATTATGTTCAAGTTTTATTAAACTACGTTTACGGTAAATTATTTTATAAAAATATAGCTTCCGAGGTGCGGCGTAATTTGCTTAAATCTTATTATTATTGAGTTTAGCAATTACACACAGTCGAGCAATTGTTTTTTGGAAGTCTTTTCGACTGTAATTTGCATTTAATTTTAACAAAGTAATATATTTCGTGATTTGAACAAAATAATACGAAGTAGTTTAATAACACCATAAACAATACAGAACACATTTTTGGTATTTCAACTTTAAACGAATTTGTGGTAGTATTTACTTTAGATAAAATCTCTTGAGGATGCATTCTGTACACGTGCCGACTTAATTCATAGTTTTGTTTAAAGCTCCATTTACATCCTTCGTAATTGCACTTGTATGGTCTTTCATCCGAATGCGCCGCTTGGTGCCGTCTTAAATTGCTCTGATACAAAAAGCAACTTTCGCAGGTGTCGCATTTAAACGGCTTGTCATCCGTGTGAATTCGCGCGTGTCTTCGTAAATATCGTTCGTTTCCAAATGTTTTACTGCATATCGGACATTGATGTTTTCCTTCCTTTCAAAAAATTCCGTCGAGTAAAAATAAGTAATTATTGATAAATTTAAACAGAAATTATTGATAATATTAGAAATATTGTGGTCTAATTTATAATATGTATTCTAGGTACGATACGAGATTAAGATCGAAAGTGTTGTTTGACGAATTTTGAAATAACATCGCCATCTAAAAAGCGTTTTACAAAATAAAAGTTTTTCTCATCATTTCTGATGGTAATTAATTTAATTTAGTTTAATTTTGCAGAAATTTTGCCGAAAATGAAAACAACAATGCGGAGAAACAATGTTATAAATTTCATTGTTCTCCGACGGTGATTAAATGCGCGTGTATTTAAACACATAAATACTGTAATTGCATTTTATTCCTGTGATTTATGGCCGATTTCACATATTTACGTTTTCGCATTCATATTATTCGTCATATTTTCAAACGTAGAATAAAAAGTACTTTTAAAATCGTATTTTATGCATTTTGGCATTTTACTTTCTTCCAGTAGCAAACGAGTTTCGGTTTTATTATTTTTGGATTGTTGTAGACCTTCGCTTCGAAGTTTCCTCACAAATGATTTGTTTGTAAATTAATTTATGTACGTAATATTTTAAAAATGAAAGAATAATAAATTATTTTATACGAAACCAGTTTTAAAAATCAAAAAGACAAAACTCTTGTTTAAATTTTTTTCTTTGCGGATGACGATGTAAAGATTTTAACAAAAATAATCGTAAATCAAAAAGTATTTAAATGCTTCCGACATTAAAGAAAATGTTATTTGATGATACTTTTCGTGTGTTCTTGCGGAGAAACTCGACACGAGACATTTTATTTCACGTCGATCGATCCTTACTTCTGGGAACGGATTGAAAGTTGTCTATTGTTCCAGATGTGTTTCCGTGTAAAAATCTTTAAATCTCCTTTTAAACATATTATTTTATATTCGTTTATTTTTATGGTTCGACTCGTGTTAGAGACAATACAATTATTTTGACCCCAGACGTTTTTTAAACTCGTATTAAATGGAAATATTTAATTTATCGGGTTCAGAAGCTTGTACTGTACGCTTTATTTCGCTATCTCGAAATACACAGTAATAAACGGAGACTCGCATTAATAAAATAGCTTAGGATCTTTTACGGATTTCGTTCGTTTGGCACGATAAATAATGATGGCTTTTCTATTAGGGGAAAATCTCTACTATCGACCACTTAATTTTTAAATAAACACTTGATAATGACCAAGAATATCTTCTATTTGAAATAAAGACCATTTACAAAAATAAAATATTTTCGAGTCTTTCCTTTATCCTTTTACACAAGCGCAGAAGTAACAGTTAATCGGCTTGAAGAAAAAGCTTTATTAAAATAACGAATAATAATAGATGTATTCACACAAATGTAACCTTTGTTTTTAATTAGATGTATATATAATATGAACCATCTTAATCATAATATGGACACTGAGTGAAGTGAATAACGGTTATAAACACAAATTTTTATGTTATAATTGTTTCCGTTTGCCGTTTTAGCAGCGCATTCGACACAATAGAACATATAGTTCCGAGTAACACTTTGAAACATATTTCATGCACCCAATCTTTGCACTTCACGCACCGAATGATGCTTTTCTGGGCCTATATCTTTTTTACGTAATTTAGAAAACCGAGACACTTCATTTTTATATTTAACACCGACTTGATCATCTTCCCGTTCAGTTTCAACATATTTCGTGCGTTTAAGTTAAGGTTGCAAATTTAATTTCTTTGCTGTAGACCGGGGCCTGTAAAGAGGGCCGCACGCGTTAAGGAAATCCTCTGAGGAATAATTGTGCACTGGCCTCGAGGAAGTTCGGAATTTCCTATCGCCCACCCACGAGGAGGAAAATCTCTCAGTTATACAGTCGACCGCGCATCCGATGGCGAAGTAATGGCTGTTCGCGGATGTTTATTGGAAATAAATTGTATTAAAACTCGCGGGAAATACACGTGCATTAAAGTTTACGGTGTAAATAGTAGTAGCAGTGATTTGGATAGCGCTGATCAAAGATTAATTTTTTACCAAAAAATCACTTATGGCAGCTGCTATTTCGTTGTGAATATGTCTCTTTAATCCGATTTTGAGTACGGTAGACTATCATTTACAGCTTTCAGGTTAGGAACTACTTTTAGCTGCCATAAGTGATTTTTTGGAAAGAATATTTGAATATGGATGGAGAAAACAGTTTGTACTGAAGAGGGACTTAAAATACAAATAAGTCCGAAATGCATTTGACAAACCAATAAAAGAAGTTCCTAACATGAAAGCTGTAAATGATAGTCTACCGAACTGAAAATCGGATTAAAGAGACACATTCACAAATAAATTTTTTAAGAGAAATCTAGGGCTATAGATGAATCTATAGCCCTAGATTTCTCTTAAAAAATTTATTCAAAAGCATCAATTATCGGCGAAAGATGAACGGCCAGTCGAATTTATTACCAAAAAAATTCACAGATTAAGTTTTATAGAGGAAAAACCATCGGGTATAACTGGCTGGATCGAACGTAATAATCTACAAAACTTATTATTTCTCAACGTATAAGTAACAAATGTAATTTAAATAATTGTTATATTAAACAATTTCCCTATTAAACTTTGTCTTTTTGTTAAAATATTATTTTAAGTTGTTGTGTTTTAATTTACTTGGATATTAAAACAATAAATTTTTTAAAATGTAAAAGAAAATGAAATAGAGTATCGAGGTGTTTTATGAAACTGAAGAAATCAACTGAGAAGTTTTCTAAATATTAAAATTATTTACTCAAGAAATTTTTGATCCGAAAATAATTTATAAACAATAAAAGTTAATAAGGTTAATTGTTCCAAACATTCACCAGACATTGTTCTCACTACTCAGAGACCTCACAACCGAACGTCACGAAGGCGCACACGTTACGGTTGGCTTTTCGAATGGTTTTTCGTTTCTACTCCGGCGAAACGGTACAGTTTTCCCACACACACTAACAGGAATTCCTCGAGGCCGGGCCCGCGCACTTATTCTTCAAAAAATTTCCTTAACGCGTGTGGGACCCTAAAGGAAGAAGGACCGACAATATTGAAAATAGAAGTAAGAATGCAATTAGATCAACTAAAGAAGGTAAAGACGAAGTTCCCGCTGAAATTTTGAAATTACTGGATGAAGATATTTTAGTGGATTTTTACAACATTATTTACGAAAGTGGTGTAATTCCTGTACATCTTTTAATGTCTACGTTTATAACAATTCCCAAAAATGATAACGCAAAAACTGTGCTGATTATAGCACTATAAGCCTAATCAGTCACGTTTTAAAAATTTTCTTAAAAATAATTCATACAAGAATATATAAAAAGTGTGAAGAAGATTTAAGCAACACGCGGTTTGGGTTTAGAAAATCTCGTGGAACGAGAGAAGCTCCTTTTGCTCATAGCATTTGAAAGAATTCCGCACGATAAATGAATAGATATACTTAGGAAGAAAGGAATTGATAGAAATGAATTGCAAATTATAATAAATCTTTACTAGAACAGAAAGTCAACATTTTAATTGATTCTGGGTTATGCGAAGAAATAGAAATAAAAAGAGGAGTAAGGCAAGGATGTATTTTATCACCTTTACTTTTTAATATTTATTCGGATGAAATTTTTAAAGAGGCTTCAGAAGATACAGAACACATTGGGATTGTAATAAATGAGATGAATGTAAATAATACACGTTATGCCGACGATACAGTGCTTTTAGCAGAAAATATAAATGATTTGACAATATTGATGGAAAAGATTAATTCAAGAAGTAAATTCTACGGACTTCAGACAAATTATAAGAGAACAAAAGTACTTATTTCACGCAAGAAAAATATAGATAATGCAACGTTGCAGATAGAAAACAGAACAATTTCATCGATTAAGTATTTGGGAAGTAACATACAGGAAGACGGCAGATGCATTAAAGAAATTAAATCTAGAACAGAAAATGTCACGGCTACTTTTATCGGAATGCAGAAATTTTTGAAATGTAAAGATTTTAATTTAAATCTTAAAGTTGGAATATTAAGGCCCTACGCGACGTCGGTTTTGTTTTATGGAGTAGAAACGTGGACCTTAGATAAAAATATTCTAAACAGGCTGAAGCGTTCCAAATGTGGTTATATAGAAGAATTCTAAAGATATCTCGGGCAGACAGAATAAGAAATGATGAAGTTTTGGAAAGAATGAAGAAAGAAAAACAAGTTTTAAATACAGTTAAAAGAAGAAAGACGGGATGTTTCGGCCACGTCATCCGAGGAAGTAAATATGAAAGTTTGAGAAATATTTTAGAGGGAAAAATTCTGTGTGAGGGGAACAAGCCCAGGAAAAAGAAGGAAAAAGTCGGTTAGGCAATATATGTGAAGGGAAAAATAAGAAAGCGGAAGAAGTCGCGCGCGAAGCACAATTGAGATTGTTATAATAATACTAATCCTGCATTCAGAAGTGAATACGGAACCGGAAGAAGAAAGCAAAATCTAAATAAATAAATACATTACATAGGTATTACCCCGCTATAGTTTATATACGCATCGTATCCCGTACGAAATTTGCACCGTTATAGTCTGAACTTTAATTAAACAGAATAATTCGACGTTATTCGTCTGTATTTTTACAAACGTTTTGTGTAAGGTTTCTCGAACGGAATCTCGGCTGTTTTTTAACCCGGAAAATTTCGCAAATTTCTTAAAAGTTCTGTTTTGCCCTTTTTGTGTTAAAGTTGAAGAAATTTTGCAAATAGAAAGTATAATTAACTCACAGACTGTCGGAATACATTTGTGTTTATTAATTTAAAACCTACTTATTAGTTTTTTTTTTTTTTTAATTTTTGGTTATGGCGTGTCACTATATGTTTTGTGTAGGGTTTCTCGAACGGGATCTCGGCTGTTTTATTAACCCGGGAAATTCTTCTCATCCCGGATGTCACAAATGGTCAATAAACAATACGTCGCTTATTTGTGGCACGACTATGAAAATTCTTTACTTGTCGGAACCTGTAATATCTGGCATAATTGCTCCGATGCTGTCTTAATTTTAACTACGCACAATAGCTTTAATAACTGCATTATGCCGGATTGCGCAAATTGGGCAAGTATCATAATAATAATAATCTTGAATAATGGTCTTTGAAGACC